TCTAAGTTTTATGGGGTCATTCCATAGACATAATGGCTTTTCTACTGTACAAACTGTATTTTTTATCCCCTTACCCTAAACCTACCCCTCGCACAAAACTACAGGCATTTTTACATTTTAAAAAAACATAATTCTGCATGATTTATAAGCTGTTTTCCTCATAAGGACCAAAAAATGTCCCCAAAAGGTCACAAAATTACTGGTATGACTATACTTGTGGAGCCATTTGGTCCCCATAATGTAGGGAATACCAGGCACACACACAAACACACACACACACATACACATACACATACACATACACACACACACACGTGTTGAAACTAAATTGGACGGCTTTCCACACACAGAATCTTAGATTCTCACATACTCCATCTCTGTCCAACATTCACACACACACACAGAGAAACTCAACACTCGCCAAACACTCTGTGAGCAGAGATTGACTTTGATGAGGAAATCAGACTCTGCCTTCAGATTCTGCCGGAATGATCATGCATTGGCAGACAGTTTTATCCAAAGCAACTTACATTACATTAAAGGTTTACTTGTGCAAATTATTAATTCATGCATTACTGGGAATTGAACCGTAATTGTGTGTGTGTGTGTTGTGAGTTATTGGCACCAAACTTTTATATTTGTGAGCATAAACAAATGTGAGTTTCACATGTTAGTTATTTCTGAATATTTTACGAGTCTGCAAGAGTGAGAGGACACACACACTTGTTTTTTCTATCATGATGTGAATATCTATTGTTTTTATACTGAGCTAGGGACGTCAAAAGTACCCATACCACAACTTTGGTACAAAGTTGATACTAAAATAAATAAAATTCTTGTCTTGGTAGGATATTCATGTAAACACGTTTGGTTAGGTATAAGACCTGTGTCAAAATATCAGAGTATAAATGCAGCCTAATGTACTTTCCACTGTCTAGTATGTCATTAATATTCATTTAAATGTCAATATTGACAATGCAAAGAGAAAAATCACTGCTCTCTCCTCTCTCTTTATTACTGATTGTTATTTGAAGCAATGCTGACATACTAAGAAATACTGGTAAAGCTTTACAATAAGGTGTTTAACAGCATATCCATTTATGCAGTGGTATTTAAGTTGATATGGAGAATTATTGGTATTGATATAAAAAATGTTGGTCTCTTGACAACTCTGTACTGAGCTAATGATATTTCCCCTCACACAAGGCATTCTGCATTATTAGATTTTAATTAAGTCATTATTTAGTAGGTTTATTAAGCCATTTTTCCAATGGCTGGTCCTCAGACTTGGCAGAACCCGACCCACCCACACACAGAGAGAAATAAACGCCCTTCCTTCATGGCATTTTCAAGCATAAATTCATAGAATGTGCATTACTCACAGTAGCTGCAATGAGAATAGTCCGTCAAAAAGGCCTTTGGGAAGTTCACTGATTTTATTCCCATATAAAACCCTGAAAGGCAGAAACACAAGGGAACATAAAATAAAAGCAAAGATTAAAGATGTTCATTACCCACCCACACACATAACCATTCATCAGCAACGGTTCCTCCAACAGAGCACAAGATGCACCACCGGTGACGAATCATTTAAACACAAATGAAATAATCATATGGATCCAGATTGATGAGGTAAAATCACAAAAAGCATGTGCACAATAATCTTATTATTATGAATACGATATATCAATCTCATATCATCTCATGTTCATTACTTTATCTTAATGGTCCATAACCCTGCGCAAACTGAGGTTGTGGTAAAAATGGGTGAGGAATATTAGGAAATTCAAGACTAATCTGAAAAAGCCATGCAGGGCTAAACATTTCTTGGCGTTTTTATTTTAGAATGAATAATGGCATTGTGGCGTTGGCTATATGCTGATATCCTACATATGTGCAGCCCACACAGAAAGCGCCACGGATCTGGAACAGTTGTGCTTTTGTATGTTTATTCGTTAAATATTTTGACTGATTTGATCCTTCTTTCAGCTACTAATCAGTGTGTAGCACACATAACTCTGCTTAACAGGCAGATTTCCCCCCAAAATCAGCATCTAAAATGTTCTGTCTGAGCATTCATTTGAAGTATTTCATTACTGTGATGTCACATCAGGACTTGCATGTGTGTGTTCGCTTATGTTTCACATTGGATCACTCTTCTGGCTTGAAG